GGTAAACAGCTATAATCCTAGCAGTCTGGGGCCAGGGAGACAGCTCAGTAGCATAAGCACCTGCTGCATGCACAAGGTCCCAAGTTTGATCCCTGATACTGGGGAAAAAAAAAAACCACCAGTCTGGAGGCTGAGGCAGAAGGTTCAATATGAGTTCCTAGTATTGAGCCTTGGCTACATAGTAAGCCTTGTCTTGAAAAAAAATCAAAACATAAAATGTGTTAGACTAAATCTATGACTCCCAACGTGGAAAAACTATTTTGAGTTATTTTTTAAAAGGTCAATGCATGAATCATACCTGCAATAAGGACAGAGCCTGAACTGAAATGACCACAGCCTTTCTTTCTGACTGGAACCATTCCCAGGCAGCACAGCACAATGGGAGGTACCTAGAAGCCAGGTCAGACCGGCCACTGGGCCTACTGCAAAGATACCTGTCCCCGAGAGTCAAACTTCAGGGGACATCACTGGCGCTGGTGGTGATCTAGGATACCTGTAGGTTCAACAACCTGAGTCTCTGTTTCTGTTGATTTTTTGGTTTTGGTACTGGGATTGAACTCCGGACCTTGCACTTGCCGGGCAGGTGCTTATGCCACTAAGCTGTATCTCTGCCCCCCCCCCTTTTTTTTAAGGCAGGGTCTTGCTATGCAGTTGAGGGTGGCCTGAACTCGAAACCAACCTCCTGCCTCAGCCTCCCAAGCGTATTACTGGGATTACAGACTCGCGCCATCACACCTAGCTATCTTCTCTGCTGGGGATAGGCAGCACCCTGTAACGCAGCTCTTTTTGGGTGTAGGGGTGGGGGTAGGAGTTGAGACTAGGTCTCGATGTGTAGTCCAGGCTGGCCTTGAACTCACAATGCAGCCCTGGTTAGCCTCCAATTTGCAGCCGTCCTCCTGCCTCAGGCTGAGCACTGAGATTACATGTATGTGCCACCATTACAGGCTACAGGGTGGGTGTGTGCATGCATGCGTGCATGCGTGCGTGCGTGCGTGTGTGTGTGTGTGTGGTACCAGGGATCGAACTCAGGACCCTGAGCGTGCAAAGCAGTTGCCCTACAGCTCCTCCTCATCCAGCTGACAGCCCAGCCGGTGGGTGGCGCCTCGGGCCCCGAAGCCCCCGCACTGCCATCAGCCCTCCTGGGCGGCTGAACCCCTCCGAGGCCTCCCGCTCCCCAGCAGCGGCGCTGGAACCCTCCCGCCGAGGCCGCCGTCCCTCCCCGTCCGTTCACCGGACTCAGTACTCGCTCACGCCCTCACGACACCCGCCCGCTGCTCGTGTTCCCCGTCCAGCTCCGGGGAGGGCCACCCGGCCGGGTCTCCGGGCGCCTCGTTCCGTCAGAACCCCGATTTACCCAGACCTGAAGATGCAGTGTGATTTCTTTTTTTTTTTTTTTTTTTTTTTTTTTCTTAAAATCTTGGCGAAAGTTTTGACTTTTTGTTGTAACTCAAAGGACGGGAAGGTCTGGGCCGAGAGCCGCGCGCGACCACTTCTGCGGATTAAAGCCCAGAAGAAACCGCGGGCCCCGGAGCCTCGCCCGCCGCCCCGCTCGCGTCGCCGCGCCCTCACCGTCTCCCCGCGGACGCCCTGGACGACCCTCCATTGCGAGGGCACGGACGCCACGCCCAGGGTCTCGTCCTGCAGCGGCCCGGGCCGCCACGGGCCCTCCGCGCTCGCAGCCCCGCCTGCCGCCAGCGCCGCTGCACTCCCGCTTCCCGCCGGAACGGTCGGCCTGGGCAGCCAGAGCGTTGCCATGGCTACGAGCCCCCCCTCGCGCCGGCGCACTGAGACCCAACCGCCGCTCCCCGCCCCCTGCGGAGCGGAAGAAAAGGGAGGTGAAGCTGCTAGCGCCATCTTTGAACTGGTTACAGAGAGATTCCTGGCAGGGAAGGAGGGGTGATTCCTTTCTGCTGGAACGACACGAGAGACTAGTTTAAAGTAGTCGATTCTCACGCAGGCTATGCATTGCACAGGCGCGCCTATTTTCTGGGAAGGGAAATAAAGGTGCGGAAGTGAGGCCGAGGTGCCAGGCTCAAAGATGGCGCTGAGTGGCCGGCCGCAGAGGTGAGGGCAGGAGGCTGCAGCCCGGCGGCCCAGGGAGCAGGACGGAGCGCACCCAGCGGCCCAGCGGGAGGCAGCCACCGCGAATCCAAGGACTCTCCCGCCGAGCCTCACTTTCACCTTAAATACAATAGTGATCCCATACACGGAGGAGCTAGACCACCAGAATGCTTCTTAAATCGACATTAAAAAGTGGGCCTGCCGGGCATTGTAGTGCACGCGTGTAATCCCAACATTCGGGAGGCTGAGGCAGAAGGATCCTAGCAAGTTCGAGACCAGCCTGGGCTACAAAGTGAGCTCAAGGCCAGCCTGAACGGCATAGTGGGACGCTGTCTTAAAAGACAAAAAAATTCTGGGCCAAGCGGGGACTGGTGGGAACCCATAATCTCAGCACTCAGAAGGCTGAGGCAGGACGATTGCTATGATCTCTAAGCTAACTTGCAGTACAAAGCAAGATCCTGTTTCAAAAAAAGAAAAAAAGGAGCCAGGAGTCATGGTGGTGGATGCCTGTAACCACAGCACTCTGGAGGATGTGCTAAGAGGATCGCTGAAGCAGGGGGAACCGGGGATTGAACTCAGGCCCTTGCCCTTGCCAGGGAAGCACTTATTCCACTGAGCCATCTCCCGGGCCCCTGAAGCAGGATTATCGAGGCCAGTCTGAACTACATAGCAAGAACCTGCCCCAAAACATAAAGCAAAAAGCTGAAGACAAAAATAATAAAATAAATCAACAATGTAACCCAGGCTGGCCTTGAACTCATGCAAATCCCCCGGCCATCAGCCTTCTTCCTGCCATGACAGGAGTGCAGGACCCTGCCTCAAAAGACAGAAAAAGAAAAAAGAAAGAAAGAAAGGTCTTCTTAGAAGGTGAAAGAAGCTAGATAAAATGCTCCTTCCAAGGTCTTCTTGACCCTGGAAGAATTTGCAAACATCATCAAGGACTCCATAAGTCACCTTGCAACAGGAAGCCAAAAATCAGAGATGATGGTGCACCTGTAATCCCAGCACTTGGAGGCTGAGGCAGGAAGATTGCCAAGAGTTCAAGACCTGCCTGCTCTACACAGGGAGACCCTGTCCCAAAAAACAAAACAAAACCAAAGAAGCTAAAAGCTGTGAAAGTGATTTGAAATGTGGAGAGAAATTTGTATGCTGTAACAGGCTAGGTGTAATTGAGAGGATAAAATGGATATTTAAAAATTAGGAGCTCAGGGCCATCCACATAGCTCAGCAAATTGTTTGTAATCTTTTACTATACATAGTTTTTTTGTTTGTTTGTTTTGGGTTTTTTTGCGGAACCGGGGATTGAACTCAAGCCCTTGTGCTTGCCAGGGAAGTGCTTATTCCACTGAGCCATCTCCCCAGCTAGCTCAGCAAATTAAAGCACCTTCAAACATAAGCACCTGCCTGGCAAGCAAAAGGTCCTGAGTTCAATCTCTGATACCACAAAAAAAAAAAAAAAAAAAAAAAAAAAAAAAAAAA